TACGCAGCCTGAATGTATTTGTACATCACATACAGGATGCCTTTCAGACTAAGCAGTCTGTTTTTAGGCACCAAATATTAAGCAGTTCAGTGGATCAGTGCTATATTTTAAACCTGTTTACCTTAGTCCAAAAGCAACAGCATAGACTGAACAGCTATTATATATCTTTTATTTATTGCTAGACTGTCAATTTCTAAAAAAGATGGTAAAAATAGCTGATCTTGCATATTTTCATGTTTTGTTTTTTTGTATCTCAGGAAAGAGACAGAGGATGATGTCACTCATGACTCTGTCAAACTCAGAGACAGCCTGTCTGGTGAGTGTGCATGTAAGCACTCCAATGTTTGCTTTGCATTTCATTGTACTGAACACAACAATTTTCACAACACCTATTGCGTTAGTCATATATTTTGTGTGTTTTTCAGCCAAGAGGTCCATGCAGCTCAATATGACCTCAGGAAGCTTGGAAGCCTTTGGCGGGGAGGTATCCAGAGCAGAATTGTAAGTGCTTTGTGTGAATTAGTGATTGTGTTCATGTTTTGTAAATGCATCTTGGTTTTATATATGTGAGACCACCCACACATGCCCTTGATCTATAAAGATACGCGTGTTTGTATCTTTGCCCTCTCAGTGAGACATCAGAGCTGGTGTATTGTGTTGCTGACCTCCAGATGAGCAACCAAAAGCTCCAAGAGGAGGTGAAGAAGTTCAAGCAGGTGGTGGAGGCTATGGAGGACAGCAACCAGAAATTGGCAGAGGAAAATGAGCAGTTACGCAACCAGGCCAGGGTGTAAGATGTACTTTCATACACTCACACACTGCACACATTTACTTTAGTACAAGATGGTTTGTTTACTTCTGTTTGTGCTCTTGCGCAGTAACCAGCAGCTGGCCCAGAAGGAGAAGATGCTAAAGGAGGAAGTGGAGGAGATGAAAGCTACTCTGAGCTGCACAGAGGAAGGCAGAGCTTACGCATCTGCACACAGCAAACATGTGGTCAGTCAAGATCAGGCAGCACATAGAGGATCTATAAAAACTCATTCTGCTTGAGAGCTGGGGATGGCATGGCTGTTATGTTGTTACAAGGGCTTCATTCCCACTTTGAAGAGCAGACAGATGCACCTGTAATGTACTGTATTGCAGACCACAAGTTAAAGCAACAGTTTTAGACCGCATTTGGATTAAAATAAAAAAATGCTTCACTTTGCTTGCAGCTTAGCCTTGTTGAGCTCTGCCACTTTCACTTGCATTGCTTTTTGTGACTGAAAAATAGAACAATGGCTTATTTTTTCTTTTGTGTTGCATTGTAAAGACAATTACCCCCCTCCTAAAACAAAATATTGTGCATTTAAAATTTATGAGAAGTATGGTGAACATTTTTTGACTTCTGGTTTGCAAGTCACTGTGATTAAGCAATATATTTGCACATAGTTTGTAACATACAGACCAAATGTATAAAGGTAAATGGTTGTATATGTAGCATAGGAGTCATCTTTCAAAAATATCTGGCACCTTTAGAAAAATTGTGCAACTCAAGCTGTCAGAACACAGTGTTTCCATAGTTTCTATTGATTTGTATTATTGCTACAACAATTTATTTGTTTATTTATTTATTTATT